AGCAACCAGTATTCCTAAGTGGTCCCCCACCATAGTACTGACTGGCCCAGATATTGCTTAACTGCGGAGATCAGACGGGATCCGGTGTATCCAATATTGTATCGCCGTACTTGGATTTGGAAGCCAGCTAATAAATCAATGCTTAACCGTATCAAGCCGGCTTTCAAAGTTACAAAACCGGAATGACAAAAAAAAAGACCCAAGAATTGATATGATTAATTGTTTCTTGATCTAAAATAAATAAAAATAGCTTTCCCTAACGTGCCACCAATCTTAAAGAGACCAAAATTTTGAATTTGTATCAAAAAAAAGTGAAACATGGAAAGCCAACCTATTATATGAAAAGAAAAAATAGAAGTTAAAAATAATTTTTATTGGTAGTTTTAATCGCCATGTATTTATTTTTTTATACGAAAGGTACTTCATTTCAGCACATTTCTGAAGAGTTTGTACCAGTTTCTCGCGGTCACTACTGTTGATGCCTTTATCAATATTATCATGATTGTTTTAACTTTGCAGTATATATCATATTTAGTGATTCGGATAGCTTTTTTTTTTTTTTTTTTTTGCGGTGCCAAGCAATTCGTAGGTTAAAGCAACCGACATGTATGAGACTGATAAACATTTAGTAAATTGGGACGAACTGTAAATCCCTACCATGACAGTACATATGACATTGAGCGAGCTGGGAGGGGCTGTAAGTCCCGACCATTACAGTGGGTATATCATTGAGTGAAAAAAATATGGATTAGCATTGAGTGAGCTGGGAGGGGCTGTAAGTCCCGACCATCACAGTACATAAAACACTGAGTGAAAAAATGTGTATTAGCATTGAGTGAGCTGGGAGGGGCTGTAAGTCCCGACCATTACAGTACGTATATCATTGCGTGAAAAAAATATGGATTAGCATTGAGTAAATTTGAAGGTGTTGGAAGTCACAACCAACACATTACCTAAAACATTGAGTGTTTTTTTTTTGGATTTTCCATTGATTCAGAAGGGCAGTGCTGTACAATCATCCCCAGCAGTGGGCTTAAAGTTGTTTCATCTAACCGAAATTAAAAAATAAAACTTAAAAAGTTTCCTAAAGTAAGAGATTTTTAAAGTAAAAAAAAAGTTCCGTCTTTGATAATAAAACAATTATCCCTTTTTAAAAAATTCACCCTTTTCCTCTTTCAAGAAATGGACAATACGTACGACTCTCACAACAACCAAGCCAACTTGGTCATGGTTCTTGACAACCTCAATGTTAACGATAAAGAGTTGGTCAATGATGATACCTACACCAACGTTACGGACTAGTCCTATGGCAAGGACAGCAATGAGAGCGATTTCGAGGATCAAAGCGGAGATATGGCTATTGCGCCTAAGCAGAATCAAGCTTGGACAAAGATTCGAGACCGCGGAATGTGTAAGTCTTGGCTGACAGTGTCGGAAAGATCCTTAGTAGGATATTCAGTAAAACCATCCGTTTTTCGGAAGTTTATCCTTTTCAACTTTAAGGTCTGGGAAACAAGCCTGTTCAGAAAGAAAGGAAAAAGGTTTTGAAAGCCCACTGGAGAGTTGTTCTTGCTTTGGTCAGCACGTTTTGTGGTGCTGTCGCTGCAATTAAACGACGTGATGCAAGTGGTAAAGTTGCCTCTGACGAGTTAACAATTATGATTAGATTTGTCCTAAAATATTAGGATTTAGAGCAGACATTTCTATAAATATGTGGGTAATAGCCTCAAGCTTTTTGAGCAAAATTATGAAGTTCTTTTCAAATACTTCCCTTGCTTTAAGGAATGTAATGATACCCGTTAAGTGTAAAATCAGTTAAAGCGCAGAGATCGCAAGATTCAGGCAAAGAGGGAAAAGGTAATGAAAATTAGAGTGGCTACCTCTTCAGCTCCACTTAACCATGCTATGTCGTGAGCCTCGATGTCATCAATTGAGCAATTGGCGTTAGAATAACCTCTTACTAAATTAGACAGATCAAAAGATGACGAACACTAAATTAGTATACTTCAGAGCTAACATTAGTCAAAGAACTAATTTAATACCATATTCAATATATATAAAAACCAACAAAAATAATACAATAATACAGTATCTTTATTCTCATCAAAAAGTCTCGTTAATACGTTTAGTTACGAAGGAATTTAACTACAAGTTCCTATCTCTATAAAATATCAACCAATCATCTGGTATCACTTTAACGACCGACTTCCCTCTTATTTTACCTGATACTGATTCTAGTAGGCCGGCAACAGTCGATGACGATGAGGATGCCATGAGTGACGGATGGTTGGCAGTACGTCGTATTGGACGTAAAAAGAGCAAGAAAGATGCGTATTTGGGCACGAATCATAAAGAGCCTTTGGATGAATTGGAAAAGATCCAATCCGAAGGAGACGAGAACTTTAGGAATTTCCTCAAAAAGATGGATTATGCCCGTGATATCGAACTTTGTCACGTAGAGAAAAGAACGCAAACATCGTGAACGAGAAAGAGATTATACCTTGTTCAAGAAAAACTTAAAGAATTTTGGGGCTGACGAGACGGCATTGCTTTATTATAAGCTTAATCGTGAGAAAGCCTTAGATCGATCTCGAGAACGATCAACAAAAGCAAAGCTTGCCAGAGAATCATAAATTTTGGAGTTTATTTTTAATCCATTTTAATAACTTTATAACGTGATTTTTTATTTTAGTTTGAGGAGCTTTCAAATCATTTCATGACCCAAACATGAAACACCAGGCCAATTTTTAATCTGAAGTGTTCATATGAGTCTATGATATAACCATGAAGTTTCAAGAAGTTACTGAAGCTAAAATGTGAACGAACACGTGAAATGGCAGCAACCTCAGCAGGATTAACAGAATGTGATTTGTGGTATCTGTACGATCCCATATCGCTTTCGTCGCGCTAAAGCTCAACAATCATGTTCTGAATGATGATACGTGCTTTCCTGATCGTATCAAGGTCATCATTTTTCCATTGTCTTGCAGGATTACTGATAATAGCAAATCATTCCTGCGACACACCAAACACTCTCTCCACATCCTTTCGACATGCTTCTTGTGCTTTGGCAAAGTTTTTGTTAAGAGCAAAAGTAGGCTAATATCGTATATGCTACGTATTGCTTGTAGAAACAATAGTTACATTTTCATCACAGGTCTAGGGATGGAACACATCTTGGCAATGTTCGCATAGTTAGGGTATATCCCGTCACCAAGATAATACCACGAATTGAACTCTTCGTCACTAATGTTACGCTTGATATCGTGACCTCTTTCTTTCTTATACCTATCAAAATATCCGATCTATTGAGAACATTGGTAGTATTGTGCGAGCAAGGGAAACCAAAATTGGTAGGCGAGATTCACAAATTGTAAGATGCCACATCGTCAAGAATAATGGTTCGCGTCTTGTCTTTGTCCGTATACTGCCCATGATATGCTGTTAGGCAGTTTTTACCTCGCCAGTAAATGTAATCTGTCGTATTTGACACCTAATTCCATGAATACAATTACTCTTATCTTGTCACTCGATTATAATATATATTACCTATGTGCTAAAAGCACTATATCGCGAATATATTCCTACTGGTACGATAAAGTACTAGCTCCGTCATATGTCAAACTGAGATCAGATGTCATATTCGTTTATGGATTGGCCGAGTAACTGCTGAATCTTTTTTGTTTTAGAAATCCAATCAAGAACCCTGTCATTGAATGCATAAACTATAATGCTCTAGAAATGCCGGGTATGGGTCAATTAGCTTCTTGTATGTAACTATAAGCTATTTCTCATATGTAACTGATTTCTAAATCTAATTCTACCATTTCCTATTTTGCGGGTAAATAGTCAATTCGATGTGCGCAGGTAAAATTTTGAAGTAAAAATTGAATATTAGAAGGACCTCTATTTTTATCATGACAAACTCTCCAACTTGTAAAAAAGGATTATAGAGTCTCATTTCTTTACTTGCTTTATTTTTCAACTTACGATTCCCTTTTCTATCCTCAATTATCGCAACATCCACCCTGCAGAAGGTCTATAATGATACAAGGTTTATTTGTAAAAAATTTACAAGAACTTTTGTAGAAGCTGGGATTGCTGTTGGTGATAGAGCAGATCGCATTGTTGTAATTCCCAGCAGATCGCATTGTTGTAATTCCCAGCATATCAATATCTTCAGATAATCCCAACGTACCATTTACCCTCCTTCGACGTCAATTTTTTGTCCAACCTGCATTTGGAATGAACATCAACAAATGGCAAAGTCAAACTCTTTCCTTCACTACTATTTGTCTTCTTAAACCCGTTTTCACGAACGGTCAATTTTATGTTGCTTTGTCTCGATTACGTGATTCTGCTAATCTTAAATTAATGTTACTGAATGAGCGGCCATTATCAACCCTCTCAGACAACGTTGTATTTAACGAAGTCATAACTAAGACACAAAATTAAGTACAAAGTAATCAATATGAATAGAATTTATTTTTATACCATTTATAAGCATTGAGTTGCGTCGGGGTTCGCCGCAAACTTGTCATGGCCCCCAGAAAGAGCGTAGGTTATTTTTACCGTAGCGAAGCGAAGGTCAAATAGTTGCAAAAGTGGGCTGGGCCGTGTTCTCGTTTAAGTAAAAAAGTATTCTCATTACACGTTTTCCAGTGATGAAAGATCAATGAACATCAGATTTCTCATTTGCCTTTTGGTGAAGACAAAATCTGTTTCAATCATTACGACATCAAAAAGGGAAACCTTGAATGTCGAGGTGGGCAATGAAATAATGAGCATAAACATTTTTTTAACTTTATTCTTTTGTAAATTGGACCTGCAAACAAAGTCCAGACTTTTTTTTTTAGTATCTGACAGAAAAAGTGACTTTTGTTTAAGAAATACACTAACACGTCATCAATTGGCGGGGCGCAGCGGGTTTTTTTATTTTAAACATGGACTATATTTTTTTTTATTTTTTTCTTCTTTTTCTTTAAACAAGTCTTCCAAAAATGATTGAGAACGTTGTTAACGACGAGTAAGTATTAAATAAGTAATTTTCAAGCACTTCATTTACGCGATGCTAATGTTGAGAATGCTTAGGTTAATGTGTGACATTACACACCGTGGCTACTTGTTTTTCTTTTTCGCCTGGTTCCACGCCAGCTTTGCCTTTCTTTTCCTTTGGGAAAAGTTTGCTTCTTTCTTTGGTTCGGTCTGCGCTTCAGCCAGTAGTGGTCGCCGACCATTGAGTAAAACACAATCGGAGGTGATTGGAGAGCTTTTTGTCCTTTGCGATGGCAAAATCACACCGATCGCCTTGGCAAACAAAAACTCCTTGGTGTCTTCTTCTTCTTCTGTGTCTTCTTTCGCTGCTGTTGGGCCATCTCCTTCCGATGCGCCCTCCTCTTCTGGGGTCCTCTCCTCTTCTGTTGTTCCTTCTCCTTCTGTTCTTGCCCGTTCTGCTGCTGCTCCCTCTTCTACTGCAGCTGAGCCCTCTCCAGCGGCTGTTGCTTTTTCGTCTGTGTTTCTCTCTCCTTTCGACGTGCCCTCTGTGGAGTCTGAGACTAGTAAGCAGTCTTTCGTCCTTCGGTCGGCGCCCGTCTCGTCCCAAAACATGGACAGACAATTCAGCTCCTTGGACTTTGCGCGTGTTGCGGGCTTGCCTTGCCCTAGTGATGGTAACATGCCTACAATCGGGCAACCCATCCAAAACGTATCTTCTGGGGTTTCTTTTGGTGTTGGCTGTGAAGCCATCACCCAAGCCTTGCTTGCGGCTGGTGTTGTTCCTGCTCCCGCTTTTGGTGGAGATTGTGGTCCTTCCGTGAGTTGTCCTTTGGCCGTTGGTGAAGTCTTTTCTCCCCTCCTTGTTTCTGGGGATATGTCTGATACATCGGTTAATGATGTATCCGACATGGATGTCGATGACGTGGTTGCTCCTGCTTCTGGGGATTCTGGTGTTCTGGGTGAGAGTGTAGCTTCTCCCCTGTTTCCTTCGGGACCGTCTGTCGCCTTGGCTCCTGCCACAGAAACGTTTTCTGGTACCTGTTTGCCTCCTTGCGGTCTGGACTTGCTTTCTGCTACTGTGTCCGCCGTTGCTGTGGAGGATGGTTTGGTTGGTGATGTTTCTTCGCCTTCTTGCGGTCTGGATTTGCTTTCTGCTGCTACGTCCGCCGTTGTTGCAGAAGATGGTTTGGTTGGTGGTGGCTGTTCCGCCGAAAACGATTCTGGTGTGGCTGTGGCTTCTGTTGTTTCTGTGCCCCGTCCTGTGGCCACTCCTCGTCGTCTCCGTTCCGGTGGTCGTGCTGAGGTGTCGTCTGCTGTTTGTGCTGTTCCTGTTGCAGCTACCGTTGTGGATGCTCCTCTTTGTTCTCCTGCTTTTTCCTCTTCTCTTTCCGAGAACCAACAGAGTCGAGGTAAGCGACGAAATGACGCTCCTCCTCCTCCATCGACCGTTCGCGCTTGCTTTGTTCGTCCTTTGGGCGACAGAAAGTTGTCTTTGTCCGGTTCTTCGGATGTCAGCTCTTTGTCTGTTGCTCCGGTTGCTTCTGTCGGTTCCGTTTCTTCTTTTCCTGTTGTTGCTTCGGTCCCTTCTTTTGACTCGTTCGGTTCTGTCGCTGCTGTTTCCTCTGCTGTTCCTGTTTCGGCTGTCTCCTCTGTCTCTTCTGTCCCTGTCGTTGAGGGACCGTTTATCACTGTCTCTCCCGTACGCCCCATGGCAAAGCCTCGCGTAGCTCATTACGAGAAGGCTAGGGAGAGATTAGTGTTGAAGGCCCTCTTCGATAGGGCAGAAAAAGAAGGTATGTAGTTTAGTTTTAGATCTTGTCTTAGAATATTTCAATCATTTAACATTATTATTTTATAGAAGAAGACGAAGAGAAAAAAGAGAAGGAGAAGGAAGAAAAGCGCTCTTCTTTGTTCAGAAGAAAATAAATTTTTTTTAAAGATTATTAGTACAAGAGTAACTGTCAAAAAAGATATTGGTTTTTGAATACGTAAACTGCGAGTTTGTAAAAGATATGAATGGGTCCAGTTTGGGGAATGCTTAGTGATGACGGAAAGTCTTATTTGTTATATTTCACCAAGGCTATAATATTTCGCCTGATTCGCCCAAATGGACGAATTTTTAGTAAGTGTTTACCCATTTACTCGTTTGGACGAATTTATAGTAAGCGTTTACCCATTTACCCAGAAAAAAAAAAAAAAAAAAAAAAAACCGGATTAAATGCATAATTAAGGGGGTGTATATTTTAAAATCAGCTCTCCCTTTCAGCCTTCAGCCAAATAAAAAACTTTCGTTTATACATATTGAATCATTTAATAAATTCATTCGTTTGAAAAAATTGGTTTGCAGTTTTAAAAGTTGATTATATATTTTATTTAAAAGAATGAAAGTAAGATTTATTTATATTTTGATACTTGAGGACAAATTGCTATGTAGAAGGATTACTATTTAAATTAGCTAAAAAGTAAACGGTACATGACATAACATGAAGGCATTGATTATTATGTATAGGAAGCAACGTACCTTCCAGAAACAAGGGGGATAACAAAAGTTTTCTAAATGAATATTAGGTTAGTTTTGATAAGAAGACTCAAAATTGATACGTACTAATTCTCTTTCTAAACAGAGTAGCCGCCACTACGGTAAAAACAAGAAGCTTAAGTTTGAAGAGATAATTAGAGAAAAGAAAAGCCATAAACGAAAAACACTTACTTATAGCACTGGGGTAGTACACTGTAAGCACGGCCTTTATACACCTGTCTATGCTGATTCAAAAGAGAGATAAGTAAGGGGAGGGACTTCAGAGATGGAATAATGAGTTTACCAGAGTGTAATTACAAAAGAAGTAAGCCCAGACGTTTATTCAGTTACATGGTTACGAGAAACAAGAATGAATAAAAGTAATTTTTTTTTTAAAAAAACTGATTTATTGAGGTAAAAAGATAAAAAATAGATATTAAAAAAGAAAAAAGGAAAAGGAAAAGGAAAAAGAAAAGGAAAAGGAAAAAAAAAGACTCCGTTTATATGTACTTTTTAGAGGTTGGTGTTACGACGGATGGATGACTGGAGGCAGATGAATTTCTTTGTATACGCGGCTTCTTGACAACAGGACACTAAGACAGATACTCGTCTGCTTCAGGTAAATGGAATGAATGAGTAATTTTAAGGTTTGGATCTCAATTTTTATTCACCCAATCTGGGTAAGTATCCGCCCATAGACGAATACTCGTCTACTGCAGGTAAATGGAACGGATAAAAAAGCTTAAATTTTTGTGCAACCTATATATTCTACTCAAAATGAACGAACAGTTACCCCTGGACAAATATTTACCCTTTTTGGGTAAATGAAGTAACTTTATTTTTTGTGTACCATTGCTTATTTACCCAAAATAAACGGATACTCGCTCACGGACAACTGTCCGCTCAGATTTGAACGGATGTTTACCCCCAGACGACTATTCGCCCATTCGTCCGCATTTACTCTGTTTAAGTAAGTTTTTTTAGCCTAGGTGTTTTTCCACAAAATACGGTTTAAAAAAGAAAATCGGGCTAGACAATTTTACGGTCATATTGATAAATATTGCTATGCCCACCAGGTTATAACAGTGGTTTTTTGCGAAATAATACCAGCATCTGTTTAGTCATTCTCATAAACGTCACTTCTGTAATGACTCACTAAGCATGAATGAGCCAAAAAAAACTATATGTCCGATGTAACCTATGCTGATTTTATGTTTGTTTGAAACTATAGCTATACGAAAACAAAATGGTAACAATTGGGTTTCATTTTAAGTAATGCCATGTTGTTAACATTTTTAAAATCGAGCCGCTCCGTTTTAAGTGACAAGTTTTCATTGTCGCCCATGTCATAGATCATTACCAAAAATGAATGCTTGTCGGAAAAAAACGAAAATAAAAGGTGTACCTGTGGATATTCTTTATTTATTTTGTTGCATAAGGCATAGTGTCATGCTGTAAACTATACATGATTTAATTATCTTTTTTCAAAATGTTTGGTCAATAAAAAAAAATTCTTATTTTGAAAGGTAATTCAATTTCGTATGGCTTTAGGGTACGCTTTAGTTTTTGTTTAATCTCGAACGTTGTTGGTGCATAATGGTAATGTAAACGGAAGGTCTTTTGTATGAATTAACATTTTGTATAATGGGCAGAAGGACAGTGCTTACCAAAAACAATACTTGCTGTCACAAGGGAGTGTAAACGAAGACCTATACAAATATTTTTTTGTTTAATAAAAGGAGGGTGGTAAAGACAAACATCCGAAATATTGTCACTCCAGTGATAAAATGTCACCTATTTATACTAATTAAATAGTAAAGGAAACAAAAGTAGATCTAAATTATAAATTTAAATAAAGGTGGCTCAGATTCACAAGGTCATTAGAAGTCGTAGAAATAGTGTCTATGTAAAGGGCTTGTGCCATATATTTAGAAAATGTATACCTATTTTTTAACCAAAAAAAAGAACAAAGCGGATACATACTTTAAGCCATCAAAATATTGATGAGAATTATGCTGTACGCAAAATCAATTATGACGGATGATATTAATTAATTAATTGTTCATAGGGAATAACGGAAATTCTATTTTCCGACGTTAATTTGCCATGCATTCCGAAAAGCATAAAAATGAACGTTTATTTTTTTTAATTCAGCAGTTCTTGAGATCTTGCTCTCTTTCCTTTCAATTAGCGTATAAAACCGTTCAACATGGTGTGCCTTCACAGTTCGGACACCGAATTTGTGTAGCTTCCGTACAATAGCCAGAATTTTAGTACTCGATGCTTTACAGTGCATCTATTTTACAATGAACAATTTTTGGCTCCGATTTTTCAAAAAAAATAAAAACTCTATATTCTCGATGAATTCAGCAGATCCAACATCCGGCTCTATTACATTCTTTATTAGAGAGCTCTCCACAAACTAATAGAGCCGGATTTTTTTTTCACACAAAATATTTTACAGATGGCAAAACAAAATCGGCCATTTACAGTGGGGAGACCCAAATATGTCCGCCTGTTTTTACAGTGTAAAATTATAAATTTGTGCCAGCTTTCTCCGGCTAAATATACTGCCGGCTGAGATGTAAAAATACGATAATTTTTTTTTCGTAAATCTAATTCTGACCAATCACCAGAGCAATGGATTTTGACGGAAGGTACCAGAAACTTTGACATTTGTGCAACATGATCTTTTACTTCAATGCCTAAATCAAAAGACAAGGACGCCATCTTCAAAAAATGCGCGAACATCGCAGTATAGACAATAAATCAACGGTAGAAATAATCATTGATGAGCCTCAAGATGAGCATCAAATTATGCCCTTGGAGGCAGATAAAAAGGAAAATGGTAATAAACTTGTAACAGTTTTTTTTGTTATTAGTACAGATATCTAATAAATAGTCGCTTCGTCTTAACCCACAGCTTTTGAAAAATTAACGGAGATCAAGCAACGTCTTTGTACAGTCGTGGATTTGATGTGTGTGATAGACATAAGAGAAGAAAACTTCAAAAGAACAAAGACATGGCTAAGGAAAGTACGTCTATTCTCAGTTTTTTAAAACCAATCGAGGAAACAACTCCAAAAAAAAACTGAAATGGAAAAGATTGCCGCAGGTCTTGTTATTTTGGATAAGGAATTGCCACCAACAATTAATGCTCGCTCTGAGCAACAAAAAAATGGTGTTTATGAAAACTCTAAGTATCAAGCTGTCCATCTGTATTTGTCACTTCGCTTAAAAGGATTGAAAAAGACAGAAGCATCTGAATGTGCAGCAAAAGTATTTTGGTACAGCAAAGCTACTATTTACCGTAGCCTTGTCATAAGAAAATACGCAGACGAATATTGGGAGACTAAAAAAATCAGCAAAGGAATGCAAGGATTGCATAGCAAGAGAGCATCAATTCTTGACAATAATGATATCAAAAGAAAAATCGTTGAATGGTTTCGCGCTGTACCTCGTAGCCAAAGAAGTATTCCAGGCATACAAAATGAGTTGCGTACAAATATCCTTCCCGGTATAGATCTCAATTCTGTGGATGCCAGCAGCCCTTTGACTGCCGAATGTATTCGCAGAAATTTAATTGAATGGGGTTTTAACTTTAAGCCTCTCGGTAATATTTCGACATGTCATTGGTAACCATTTGTAATAATTCTGCTTTTGTAGGTCGTACTGTATACTTTGATGGACACGAGAGAGAAGACGTCATCGAGTATCCTCAGATCTGGGCCGAACAAATGATGGGGGTATTTGGGACTGTCCCAGCAATATGACCCTAACGATGTTAGTATAGAAGTTCCGTTGGTGTTGCCAGTAGGCCAAAAACAACATGTTTTGGTTACACATGATGAGAGCACATTCTATGCCCACGATTACTAAAAACAAGCATGGCTAGAAAATGATGAGAGCTACTGTCTGCCCAAATCTCAGGGCAGATCAATCATGATCCCAGAGTTTCATTGCAAGTGCCATGGTACCATGAGGGCCACAATTGATAACAAGATAATAAATTCAAGAAAGCTTTTTTATCCGGGTGCAGCAAGTGAGGGTTATTGGACTAGCTCTCACTTGCTGGAACAGTTGCAAGACGTTCTTGTGATCTTTGCGTTCTTGCATAAAGATAGCATCGGAGTGTTCTCGTTCGACCAAAGCAGCAACCACAAGGCCTTTCTTTGGATGCTTTGGTCGCCAACAGAATGAATATGATTCCCCATGAAGTAGGTAAAGATGAGGATTTAGTACTAAATGGTGAATATACCGGAAAGTCTGCCGCAGGTGAAGATGCTATCAAAATCCATGATTTTTATGTCGAAAGAGACATCAATTTTGTTGAAATTCAAAAATTGCACAACTCAAATTTGGATGCTAATTTAAAACGACAAAAAATTCTAGAGCTTGCTACAAAAAAGCATCCAGTAAGTTACTTAAGGAACACCAATTGGAGTAATTTTTTTAACTTTTTGATATTTTTTATGCCAGAACAACAAAATGCATGTTTATTTTAAGGGCATCAAATTAATCCTTCAAGACCGAGGACTATACAGTGGCCAAAATAAGGACTGCCATAACATCGCCATTGCTGATCATACATGTTGTGCAAACCATCCGGTTGGTAGCCAACCCGATTTTTTGAAGCAAAAATCAATTTCCAAAGAAGCCATTGGCAATGCAGGCCATATCTTTGAACTGTACCCCAGATTCCCTTGCGAAACACATCCGATCGAACGATTTTGGGGGGCCTCTAAGAAAGTTGCAAGACAAAATTGCAACTACAACTTCTAGTCCCTCGACAATAATATCAACATGTTTCTGGATAATGCTGCTCCTCCTGGAGAGCCACCTCTTTTAATTAGAAGATACCGGAACAAAAGCTTCCGTTATATCGAAGCTTACAGCCAAGGTAAAGATGCAAAAGACGCCTTTGCCATTGTCAAAGAATTTTCTAAATGGCAAAAATCACATCGCAAGCTTCGGTTAGACCAATTTAAAAATTACACTACAATCAGGAAATGAATTAGGAACGTCTTAAAAAATAAATACATAAGGACATGAGAAATGAACATTTTAAACTGAAATGAGCAAAAAAAAAAAAAAAAAAAAAAAAAAAAAAAAAATTATAGGGATCGGACTTGAAATTCTCAAAAGTGTCCGTTTTTTCAAAAGTTGTGCATTTTAAAATAGATGCACTTTATCTTTATTTTTCTGTAAAATAAACCATTTAAAAATCAGGACAGTTTTATTTACCAAGAGCTAGTGTTGATCCACCTGAATCTCTTTTCAAAATGATCTTTCCTGATCTTGACGTTTGGCACGATAGATTGACCGCAATGCAAGAAAACGCAAACAACGGCATCACTATGAAAGTAACATTTGCAACAAAAGATTTATTTGAACTTATGTTTATGTTAAAAAAACAATCATTCAAGATGCAATTTTCATGATTGAGGCATTTTCTACTCGACCACTTTGGAAAAATACCTTGTTTTCGCATGAATTGTTTAGGGACTACAGGGAGTAAGTTTAGATTTATGCAATAATCAATATGATATAATGTACTCATAAAAACCGTTTTTCTACAGGCGCATGCTCGTCGTCGCCCAAGAGGACAATGACCCTGTAAATGCTTTGTTGCAACGCTGCTTGCCAATTTTAGCGAACAAAATTAAATGAATGTACCATGATCTTTCGACACGATTACATGCACAATCGGCATCTCAAAAAAAGATTATAGATTAAATTACCAGACTTTTCACAGGCTAAGCGAGTGAAAAATCAGAAAATCCAAAATCCAAAATAAGACAAAGTATCAACCAGATTGCAAAAAGGAACTAAATTTTATTGAACATAAAAATAATCATTACTTTTGTACACAATGAATACAACTAAAGCTACAAGCGGAACCCTGCCATCGTGGGTAAATTATATCCAAATATTGTCCAAGCTGTCAATAGACCCGCAAGGATCAGTAAGGAGAATATAATAAACAGCCCGTACTTGAATAGGCATTTGTTGTTACGTGAACTCTGAAATTACCAGCTGATATACGATAAATATGACAGCAGTGAGAATACTTCAATTGTCGTAGCACAAGCTTATTATCTTAGCTAAGGTGTATTTACAGCTCGCATACAACAGCAAGTATAAGCCTGAACATTAGTCTACCTGCAGGTTCAGGGGAGGTTCAGGGTAAAACGAATATTACTACGACAGCCGTAACCCAACAAAGCGAACTAAATTCATTTTCCGGCAGTAATGCGATGGCTCATTCACAGACTTTTCAGGGCAATATCAACAGTTATGTTGTACCCGGTTATCTTATGAGTCGAGGAATTGTTTTGTCAATGGTTTGTGGAGTGAATGGACAGAGGGTATATGAGGCGGTCATGCGATTAAAAATTTGGAGACAAGATCGGGTACCAGATGGAGAAAAGAAGAAAAAAAAAAAAAGTTTTTTAACAGACGTCGATTAATAATAGTTAAACGAAATTGAACGATATCCAAACCAAGACAATATCACTACCAGAACAGCAATAGACATTGCCGAAAGAAGTAGATCACAAAAAGGATATTCACTACACTCGCTGTCAAAAAATAGCAACAATATATTCGAAACAGCGGCCAGTGCTAACCCAAACAAAATGTTAGAATAGCTTTTTGGTTTTTTTTTGTCACATATAATAAAATACATATTTCTTTATTTTTCTGTTCTCGTCATTGTCAAATGCACAAGGCATGTCAACATTAATATTCCCACCAACTGTTTATTTCAAAGAAAGTAACAATATATCACTTTAAAATAGCATTATATGCAAATAATTAAATCAAGTTATCAGGTTACATTCTGGGCACTTGATCCGTAAATAACTGCAGTTATTTACGGCTACTTTTTTCCACTAAGTCAATTTATTCCCGCTCTGAGCTCCAATTAGTGGAAACTTTTGCGACATTTCGGGACGTTGACAAATATAATAAACGTTATCTTTTTTTTTGACATTCAACTTTTACAGAGTCAAAATTGTATGTAACAGCAATTATTCCTTTTTTTTTAGAATAAAATAAACGATACTAACTATTTTTACACGGACAAGATCGTATACAAAAAACTCTTTTGCGGCACACAAATTATTTTTAGAGCTCGGAAAGCCAAGAGTATTTTTGGTGTAATTGCTTGAATGGCCTTATTGTTTTTGCTCAACTACTCGGTATGATTTCAGACGACTATTGATTATAATATATCGTTAATAAAGTCTGCAAAACCTACAGTAAGTTTCAATTCAAAGAATCTGTTCACTTCAACACGTGACACATTTTTATAATTAATACATATGCACTTCGTGATTTGTTTTGCGCACTGCATCATTCTGTTCAAGTTTTGATGACTTAAAGTATTCATCAGCTTTTTGTTTTCATTAAAGAACAGGGAAAAATATCTCAAAATCTGGTACAAGTTCCTTAGAAATAAAGTATGGTTTATACGCTGGTAATGGCGTGTGTAAAAGTGAGTCATGTTTGAATGAATATATACTTTAGGTCCCCTTGTGTTTCCCTCGTCAAATAACCAGTAGATATAGATGTCAAATTCATGCTTGAAAGACGATATTTTCGATCTCTGTTTTATCACCCTTCTTTTATTAAACAGAACAATTTTTTATATGAACAATTTTTTATATAAGCCTTCGCTTGACCTCGCTTGTGACAGCAAGTATTTTTTATGTTTAGTTCTGCCCATCTACCCAGTATATTAAACATGAATTCATGCAAGAGACTGTTTGTGAATACAAGTATGCAATAATTACTTTAGAGAAGAAACAAAAAACCGAGTCCTACCTCAAAGTCCTACCAGTTCGAACTAACTTTGTTAATAAAAAATGCTTCCTTATTACCCAGACAATTAATCCAGATATAGATTATTACGACAAGACATTTAAAATATGTAACGTTTGTAGCAACACACGTAAAAATTTAATTTCTCATGCGACGAAATAAAGTAGAATTTACTCTATCAAAACCTTTTTTAGTCGTTTTTTTTTTGACAAGCATTCATTAGAGGTAGTAATGTTTAAAATGCGCCAAAATAAATGTTTGTCGTTTTAAAATGAGAAGGCTGACCATTCAAAAAATTAACAACATGGCAACATGGATAAGCAACCAGTTTGTTACTGTTTTGTTCTCGTACAGCAATGCTCTGAATAAAATGTGAAATCATAATAAGTTATATTGGACCTAAATTGTTTTTAACTCATTCCTGTCTCTTTATTAATTCGCTGAATTATGTTTATGAGATGGACTAAAGAGAATTTGTTATTACTTCACTAACAGAAAAAGGCTGGTATGACGTCGCAGAGGGAGCTATACATTCTGAAAGTGATCATACACTTGTCCTACCATATTTCTCTCTTTAAAGCTTATTTGGTGGGAACAAAGAACAGATGAGTATAAACATTCCGTCATCACTATAAACTCCCCAAACTAGACGCAGCGGTTACTTTTACAAACTAACAATTTTCTAATTTAAATACAGAAATCACTTTTGACAGTTACTTTTGCGGTAATAATGTTTTAAAAAAAAATTTATTTTCTTCTAAAAAAAGAAGAACGTTGTTCATCCTTCTCCTTTTTCTTTCTCTCTTCCTCTTCTTCTACAACATAGAAATTTTGAATAAGTGGAATGTCATAAAATAAAACTTAATATTGAACTACATACCTTCTTTCTCTGCCCTATCGAAGAGGTCCTTCAACGCTAATCTCTCCCTAGCCTTCTCGTAATGAGCTACGCGAGGCTTTGCTATTGGGCGTACGGGAGAGACAGTGATTGAGGATTCCTCAACGATAGGGACAGAAGAAACAGAGGAGACGTCGGAAACAGAAACAACAGAGGAAACAGCAGCGACAGAACCGAACGAGGAGAAAGAAGGGACCGAAGCAACAGCAGGAAAAGAAGAAACGGAACCGACAGAAGCGACCGGAGCAACGGACAAAGAGTTGACATCCGAAGAGCCGGACAAAGACAACTTTCTGTTGCCCAAAGGACGAACAAAGCAAGAACGAACGGTCGATGGAGGAGGAGGAGCGTCATTTTTTCGCTTTCCCCACTCCTGTTTGTTTTCACCAGAAGAGGAAAAAGAAGAAGAAACAAGAGAAGCCTTTCCAACAGTAGCTGCAGCAGGTACAGCACAAACACCAGACGACACCTCAGCAGAACATCCAGAACGGAAACGACGAGGAGTAGCCACAGGACGGGACACAGACACAAGAGGAGCCACAGCTACACCAGAAGTCTCCCCGGCGGAAGAACCACCACCAACAGAACCATCCTCCGCAACAACGGCGGACACAGCAGCAGAACGCAAGTCCAGACCGCAAGGAGGCAAAGAAACACCAGAAACCTCTTCCAAGGCAGGAGCCAGAGCGACAGAAGGTCCCAAAAGAACCCGGGGAGAAGTCACACTCTCACCCAAGACACCAGACGCACCAGAAACAGGGACAGCCACATCATCAATATCCATGTCGGATACGACATCAGACGAGGTACCCGACAAAGCCCCAGAAACAACGAGGGGAGAAAAGGCTTGACCAACGCCCAAAGTAGAGCCCACGGAAGGACCACAAAGGCCACCAAAAGCAGGAGCAGGAACAATACCAGCCGCAAGCAAAGCTTGGGTGATGGCTTCACAGCCAAAGCCGAAGGAGGCCCCAGAAGAAACTTCTTTGATCGGTTCCCCGATGGAAGGCAAGCCACCACCACTTTGGCAGGGGAAACCCGCAACACGCGCAAAGTCCAAGGAGTAACATTGTCTGTCCATTTTATTGGACAAGACAGGTGCCGACCGAAGGAAAAAAGACTGCTGAGTAACCTCGGAATTCACTGACGGTTCAGCAAGGGGCGAGAGGAACACAGACGAAAAGGCAACATCTGCAGGAGAAGCAAGAACACAACGAGAGGAAACAACGGAAGAGGATTGTACCTCCGAAGAAGATGGCGCAGCAGAAGAAGAGGGACCAGCAGTGGGAGACGAAACCACAGAAGAAGAAGAGGAAACCGAGCAGTTTTTTTTGGCCAGAGCGACCGGTGTAATTCTGCCATCGCAGAGGAAGAAAAGCTCACCAGTCACCACCGGTGGTTGCTTACTTGATCGTCGGCGACCACTGGCAAACGCGCAGACCGAAAGAAAGAGACAAGCAAATTTTTCCCAAAGGAAAAAAAAGAAAAGGCTGGCGAAAAAGAAAAACAAGTGCGCGCGGTGTGTAATGTCACACATTAACCTAAACATTCTCAACATTAGCATCGCGTAAATGAAGTACTTGTAAATTACTTATCTAATACTTACTCGTCGGTAATAACGTTCTGAAGCATTTTTTGAAGACTTGTTTAAAGAAAAAGAAGAGAAAAATAAAAAAAAATAAAGTACATGATTAAAATAAAAAAAAACAGCTGCGCCCCGCCACTTGATGACGTGTTAGGGTATTTCTTAAACAAAAGTCACTTTTTCTGTCAGATATTAAAAAAAAAGTCTGGACTTTGTTTGCAGGTCCAATTTACAAAAGAATAAAGTTATAAAAATGTATATGATCATTATTTCATTGCCCACCTCGACATTCAAGAATTCCCTTTTTGATGTCGTAACGATTGAAACAGATTTTGCCTTCACCAAATCGCAAATGAGAAAACTGTTGTACATTGTTCTTTCATCTCTGGAAAACGTGTAATGAGAATACTTTTTTACTTAAACGAGAACACGGCCCAGCCCACGTTTGCAACTATTTGACCTTCGCTTCGCTACGGTAAAAATAACCTACGATCTTTCTGGGGGCCATGTCAAGTTTGCGGCGAACCCCGACGCAACTCAATGCTTATAAATGGTATAAAAATAAATTCTATTCATATTGATTACTTTGTACTTAATTTTGTGTCTTAGTTATGACTTCATTAAATACAACATTGTCTGCGAGGGTTGATAATGGCGGCTCATTCAGTAACATTAATTTAATATTAGCAGAATCACGTAATCGAGACAAAGCAACATAAAATTGACCGTTCGTGAAAACGGGTTTAAGAAGACAAATAGTAGTGAAGGAAAGAGTTTGACTTTGCCATTTGTTGATGTTCATTCCAAATGCAGGTTGGACAGAAAATTGACGTCGAAGGAGGGTAAATAGTATGTTGGCATTATCTGAAGATATTGATATGCTGGGAATTACAACAATGCGATCTGCTCTATCACCAACAGCAATCCCAGCTTCTACAAAAGTTCTTGTGAATTTTTTACAAATAAACCTTGTATCATTATAGACCTTCTGCAGGGTGGATGTTGCGATAATTGAGGATAGAAAAGGGAATCGTAAGTTGAAAAATAAAGAAAGTAAAGAAATGAGACTCTTTAATCCTTTTTTACAAGTTGGAGAGTTTGTCATGATAAAAATAGAGGTCGTTCTAATATTCAATTTTTACTTCAAAATTTTACCTGCGCACATCGAATTGACTATTTACCCGCAAAATGGGAAATGGTAGAATTAGATTTAGAAATCAGTTACATATGAGAAATAGCTTATAGTTACATACAAGAAGCTAATTGACCCATACCCGGCATTTCTAGAGCATTATAGTTTATGCATTCAATGACAGGGTTCTTGATTGGATTTCTAAAACAAAAAAGATTCAGCAGTTACTCGGCCAATCCATAAACGAATATGACATCTGATCTCAGTTTGACATATGACGGAGCTAGTACTTTATCGTACCAGTAGGAATATATTCGCGATATAGTGCTTTTAGCACATAGGTAATATATATTATAATCGAGTGACAAGATAAGAGTAATAGTATTCATGGAATTAGGTGTCAAATACGACAGATTACATTTACTGGCGTGGTAAAAACTGCCTAACAGCATATCATGGGCAGTATACGGACAAAGACAAGACGCGAACCATTATTCTTGACGATGTGGCATCTTACAATTTGTGAATCTCGCCTACCAATTTTGGTTTCCCTTGCTCGCACAATACTACCAATGTTCTCAATAGATCGGATATTTTGATAGGTATAAGAAAGAAAGAGGTCACGATATCAAGCGTAACATTAGTGACGAAGAGTTCAATTCGTGGTATTATCTTGGTGACGGGATATACCCTAACTATGCGAACATTGCCAAGATGTGTTCCATCCCTAGACCTGTGATGAAAATGTAACTATTGTTTCTACAAGCAATACGTAGCATATACGATATTAGCCTACTTTTGCTCTTAACAAAAACTTTGCCAAAGCACAAGAAGCATGTCGAAAGGATGTGGAGAGAGTGTTTGGTGTGTTGCAGGAATGATTTGCTATTATCAGTAATCCTGCAAGACAATGGAAAAATGATGACCTTGATACGATCAGGAAAGCACGTATCATCATTCAGAACATGATTGTTGAGCTTTAGCGCGACGAAAGCGATATGGGATCGTACAGATACCACAAATCACATTCTGTTAATCCTGCTGAGGTTGCTGCCATTTCACGTGATCGTTCACATTTTAGCTTCAGTAACTTCTTGAAACTTCATGGTTATATCATAGACTCATATGAACACTTCAGATTAAAAATTGGCCTGGTGTTTCATGTTTGGGTCATGAAATGATTTGAAAGCTCCTCAAACTAAAATAAAAAATCACGTTATAAAGTTATTAAAATGGATTAAAAATAAACTCCAAAATTTATGATTCTCTGGCAAGCTTTGCTTTTGTTGATCGTTCTCGAGATCGATCTAAGGCTTTCTCACGATTAAGCTTATAATAAAGCAATGCCGTCTCGTCAGCCCCAAAATTCTTTAAGTTAATCTTGAACAAGGTATAATCTCTTTCTCGTTCACGCTTTTAGCGATCTTTTCTCTACGTGACAAAGTTCGATATCATGGGCATGATCCATCTTTTCGAGGACCTTCCTAATGTTCTTGTCTCGTTCGGATTGGATCTTTTCCAGTCCATCCAAAGGCTCTTTATGATTCGTGCCCAAATACGCATCTTTCTTGCTCTTTTTACGTCCAATACGACGTACTGCCACCGATCCGTCACTCATGGCATCCTCATCGTCATCTACTGTTGCAGGCCTACTAGAATCAGTATCAGCTAAAATAAGAGGGAAGTCGGTCGTTAAAGTGATACCAGATGATTGGTTGATAGTTTATAGAGATAGGAACTTGTAGTTAAATTCCTTCGTAGCTAAACTTATTAACGAGACTTTTTGATCAGAATAAAGATACTGTATTATTGTATTATTTTGTTGGTTTTTATATGTATTGGATATGGTACTAAATTAGTTCTTTGACTAATGTTAACACTGAAGTATACTAATTTAGTGTTCGTCATCTTTTGATCTGTCTAATTTAGTAAGAGGTTATTCTAAGGCCAATCGCTCAATTGATGACATCGAGGCTCACGACATAGCATGGTTAAGTGGAGCTGAAGAGGTAGCCAGTCTACTATTCATTACCTTTTCCCTCTTTGCCTGAATTTTGTGATCTCTGCGCTTTAACTGATTTTACACTTAACGGGTATCATTACATTCCTTAAAGCAAGGGAAGTATTTGAAAAGAACGTCATACTTTTGCTCAAAAAGCTTGAGGCTATTACCCACATATTTATAGAAATATCTGCTCTAAATCTTAATATTTTAGGAAAAATCTAATCATAATTCTTAACTCGTCAGAGGCAACATTACCACTTGCATCACGTGGTTTAATTGCAGCGACAGCACCACAAAACGTGCTGATCAAAGCAAGAAGAACTCTCCAGTGGGCTTCCAAAACCTTTTTCCGTTCTTTCTGGACAGGCTTGTTTCCCGGAAGCCTTAAAGTTGAAAAGGATAAACTTCCGAAAAACAGATGGTTTTACTGAATTTTCTACTAAGGATCTTTCCGACACTGTCAGCCAAGACTTACACATTTCGCGGTCTAGAACCTTTTTCCAAGCTTAATTCTGCTTAGGCACAATAGCCATAGCTCCGCTTTGATCCTCGAAATCGCCCTCATTGCTGTCGTTGCTACAGGACTAGTCCGTAACGTTGGTGTAGGTATCATCATTGACCAACTCTTTATCGCCAACATTGAGGTTGTCAAGAACCATGACCAAGTTGGTTTGGTTGTTGTCAGAGTCGTACATATTGTCCATTTCGTGAAAGAGGAAAAGGGTTAATGTTTTAAAAAGGGATAATTGTTTTATTACCAATGACGGATTTTTTTCTTTTACTTTAAAAATCTATTACTTTAGCAAACTTTTAAAAACAAATTTTAAGTTTCGGTTAGACGAAACAACTTTAAGCCCACTGCTGTGGATGCTCGTACAGTACTGCCCAGCTCAATCATTGTAAAATCCAAATTTTTTTTCACTCAATGTTTTAGGTACTGTGTTTGTTGTGGCTTCCAATGCCTTCAAATTTACTCAATGCTAATCCATATTTTTTTCACTCAATGATATACGTACTGTAATGGTCGGGACTTACAGCCCCTCCCAGCTCACTCAATGCTAATCCATACTTTTTCAGTCAATGTCATATGTACTGTGATGGTAGGGATTTACAGTCCCTCCCAGCACACTCAATGCTAAGCGATATTTTTTCACTCAATGTCATATATACCGTGATGGTAGAGATTTACAGTCCCTCCAAATTTACTAAATGTTTATTAGTTCCATCCACGTCAGTTGCATTACCTGCGCTTTGCGTGGCCCCGCAAAAAAAAAAAAAAAAAAAAAAAAAGCAATCCGAATCACTAAATATGATATATACTGCAAAGTCAAAACAATCATTATAATATTGATAAAGGTATTAACAGTAGTGACGGCGATAAACTGGTTCAAACTCTTCAAAAATGTGTTGAATTGAAGTACCTTTCGTATATAAACATAAATACATCCCGAGTAATACCACCAACATAAATTATATTTTACATCTATTTTTTCTTTTTATATAATAGGTTGACTTTCCATGTATCACGTTTTTGGGAACAATTCAAAGTTTTGGTCGCTTAAAGTTGGTGGCACGTTAGGGAAAGCTATTTTGTTTTATTTTAGATCAAGAAACAATTAATCATATTAATTCTTGGGTCTTTTTTTTTTGTCATTCCGGTTTTGTAACTTTGAAAGCCGGCTTGATAAGGTTAAGCATAGATTTATTAGCTGGCTTCCAATTCTAAGTACGGCGATACAATATTGGACACACCGGATCCCGTCTGATCTCCGCAGTTAAGCAATATCTGGGCCAGTCAGTACTATGGTGAGGGACCACTTAGGAATACTGGTTTCTGTAATTTTTTATTCTTTTTTCTTTTTTTTTTATATTTCTTGTCTTTATCTCGGTCGCTTTTAATTAGTTTAAAA